TCTGCGCCGTTAGCACTGGAACGCACTGACGTGGAGCCCCCTGGCTCTGGGGGGACAGGCAGGGCTTCCCCGGGAAGGACCGCACGGACCCCGGGAGCACGTGTTGCGCGCTGCCCTGATCCCAGCAGGCGGCCTTTTCCCAAGGCCAGCAGCTCTGGGTCCGTGAACCCCCGAGTAAGTGGGCTCCCTCCTTCACTGCCAAACCAAATGAGAAGGGCTGTAACGGCTCCTTCCCACCCTCGGCCCCCTGGAGCCCGCAGCTCTTCTCAACACCCTGGACTCGCGCCGTGGGACCCGCGTCCGAGGCCGGAGGAAGGGCATCCGGTTCAGAAAGAGGCAAGAGGACGCCTGCCCTCGTCCGGGGTGACCTCGGCTGGGCTGGTCACTCCCGCTGCAGTGGCCTGCGCGCTGGCTCCGCTGTTCAGGCTCGTGCCCCACCTCCGCCTTGAGGGCACAGGGCCCTGGAGTCTGTCACGTGGGACCTAAAGCCGGAAGCGGTGGACACTGAAGACTGCCCGGAATCCGTGTTCTTTTAGGGCATTCGCACTGGAAAGAAAACCTGAGCTCTTTTGTTTTGGTCAAAAGCTAGGTTTTCCTCCTCAAAAGCACAACGGAATTTTTCAGTGTCTGTGCTGGGCTGTGCAGCCATCTGTGCTGGGGACGTCCCGGGGGGACGCACCTGGAGAGGCAGGAGCCCAGCCTGGGCAGGGCTGAGGCTCGTGTTTCCAGCGGACACTGGCCTGGACAGGTGGTCATCGCGGTCCTTCAGAGTGGGACCGTTCTCCTGGCACGTGGCAGCCTCCCAAATGCAGCAGAAACTCCCTCGAAGTGTGCTGGGCGGCCTCTGTCCCCGGCCCTGTGGCCCACGGCCCCTTGCTGACCTCCCATGAGGACCTGCACAGTCTCAAGGCAAAACCTCGTCTCAAACCCTGGGCTCCTGGGAGCCCACCAGGTCCCCCCAGTGACTGGAGTGGAGCAGTGGCTACGGGGGCGTGCAGCCGGGGCCTGGACCCCACCCAGACGGTTTCCATGTTGGTTCCTGGATTGAAACTAGCAGTTTGTTGTTTTTGGAAGGTTCCACAAAGGAGGCGCACCCCCCAGGAAAACAAGCCTGTTTTGCCCCTGGTCGCTCAGCACCGAAGGGCAGGGTGTGGGAGGCCTGCACCTCCCAGACTCGCAGCAAACTCGGCGAGTCCGGCTCAGTGCCGAGCCTGAGCCAAGATACGTTTCTGGGAACCTCCATGTATTTCTGCACCGCGAGGCCCTCACGCGGCTTTTCCACAAATGTGATGAGGACTCTACTCAGACTTTTAACATGAAAGCATTACAAGACATGCGTTGTTTTCAAAAGAGTCCCAGAAAGCTGACTAGAGCAAGAAGCCCAGGGGCCCTCGTGGGGTGCGGCAGGTGGGTGCGGCAGGTGGGGTGCGGGCCCCTCTGTCCACTGTGATGTGACGCCAGGTGCACCAAGGGGCCCGTTCCACCATCCTGCCCAGGCCCAGCCTGCGGCCTCAGCAGACCCTCAGGGCCCCTGCAGATGCTGGGGCTGGGTTCTCTGTCCTGCAGGATGGGGCAGCTGCAGGGAGACTTTCCACTTTCCTACCAGGAGCAGTTTCCTAGTTGGGGAAGCAGCGGGGGCCGGTGCTCCTGCTTCTGCCCCGTTATGCCCAGGCCCGGGAGGCCGCCCAGGGGCTCTCCCACCCCACGTTTGTGGGTTCTGCCTGGACTGGGGCTCCCAGCCAAGGCCACGCCCTCCAGGTCCCATGCCCCGAGTTATCGTGTCCCTACTGGCTCCCAGCAGACCCTTGCCGCTCCCTCTGGGCCTCGCGGGCTGACAGGCTCTCTGCCTTTCCGGCTCCCTCGGGTCACCCTCGCCCTCTCAGTCTGGGGACGGCTGCCTGCTTCCCATGCTGTGTTGCAGACAGCATGTGAATGCCGTGTTTTGATGTTTCCGGAAGCCTGATTTCTGAGAATCCAAGTTACCAGCCTGCCTTTGTCCAGTTGCCTTGGTCAGCATGCTGGCAAGCTGGTCCACTCAGCTTGCGGTCAGCGACCCGGCCCTGCCCCATCGGTTCTCCCCCGGGGTGGCTCTGTCCCCCAGGGGGTGCTGGGCGAGGTATGAAGACATTTGATGGTCAGTCTTGGGGGTTGCTGTGTCTTCTAGTGGGTGGGAGGCAGGATTCTGCTCAACGTCCCCCAGCACCCAGGACAGCCACCGCAGACGGGCGTCCTGCCCGAAGGTCAGTGGTCCCAGGGATCCCTGCAGCCACCTTCCTGAGGGAGGGCAGGGTCAGCAGAAACACTGTCCCCGTCCCCATCTGCACTGGGCACAGGGGAGGAGACAGAGTTCTGGGCCAGCCCCAGGGAATGGCGTAGGTCAGGGGATGGCTGGGCACAAGAATCCGGGGTGCTGGCACTGCTCTGGGGCGGGGCCCCTGGCCACTCTGGCCGCTGGAGTCCTGGTCTCTGGGTGCTGTGGCTCCTGCTCCTGCTGCACATCCTGAGCACAGTAGGTGTGCACTCAACACCCGTCAGAGAGGGAGAGCCCAGGCTGGCAGGTGGGAGGTTCGTCACCAGGGCAGGGGACAGAAGGAAGCAGCAGCCGTGTGCCTGGAGCGCCTCAGTTCTCCCTCCTGCAAGGTGAGGTGGCTGGAACCAGGTGCCTCCTCCGACCCCCGCGGCTCACACACACCCCGTGACCACAGGCACCACAGCCATCCTGGGGAGGGAGGCTGTGGCTTTAGAGAACCCCGCCTGCCCCAGCCCCAGTGCTGTGATGCTGGGCACTGGTCAGGGCAGAGGGCCCAGGGGCTCCGGGCGGTGCTGGAGGCGCGGCAGGTACATCCCACCCGAACCTCCCTGCAAGCCTGGCTTTTCAGAAGGAGGACGTTTTTCAGGGAGAAGGCAGCTTACACGTCTGGGCTGGCTCTGCCCTTGGGGACTGACTCCCCCTCCCCCACAGCCCAGGGAAGCAGCGGCGTCCTCCTGGCCCACAGCAGTCCCGCCGCCCTGATGTCAATCCCACCAGCACCCTCCCCCGGCCCGCCCCACAGGCCACGGTCTGACCACAGCCTGCTGCGTCCTGAGTGGCTCCTGGGTCCCCCTGAGGGGAGAAGGCTCCTCTGTCACTAGTGAACGCTTCCCCTTTTCCTTGAATCTGGGTTGATGCTGCCACGACCAGGGAGGGGCAGCCAGCTGGGGCTTCTGTGACGGCGCGGGGGCGGAGCAGCTCCGTGGTAGCAGGATGGGACCTTGTCCCGGGGCCATGGGGCTTAGTGTCCGGAGTCCCTGGTGTCTCCGCCACCAGAGGGTAGCCCGCCGGGGATGGGGGCCTTGAGCCCCTGCAAAACCAATATGAACAAGCTCCAACACCCAGGAGCTGTGCAGTCAGCCGCCCGAGTCAGGACCAGAACTGGGGCCACACCAGGATCAGCTCCTGAAGACCTTGATCTGGGTCTTGTGGGAGGGGGAGGTGACCAAGGAGTATCCAGGCCAAGAACTGAGCAGGATCCTCCACCCCCACCACCACCACCCTCCCCCATCTCCTTCCTGCCCCCACTGTCCTCCCTCCCCCACCTCCTTCCCTCCCCAGCGCCCTCCTTCCTTATCATCCTCCCTGGCCCAACCCCCTGCACCAGCCTTGTGGTCTGAGCACAGGCCCTGCCCTTCCCCTGGGAGTGATTCATTGCTCCTCTCTTGTGTTCTCTGGGCCTTCTGTCCCCGAGATTGCAGGTGTCCAAGTCTGCTGTGCGCAGGCCGCCCAGGGAGGGGGAGGGCACTGCCACTTCAGAGTTGGGGTTTCCCCGGCAGGGACAGGACGGGCTGTGAGGAGGGAGTGGTCCCCGAGAAGGCC